TGTTAGCTTGTGAAAATGGTCACTCTCAAATTGTTGAGCTGTTGCTGAAAGAGCAAGTTGATCCTAATGCTCAAAACAAAGATGGAGTGAATGCTTTTATGTTGGCTTGTCAAAATAGTCACATTCAAGTTGTTGAGCTGTTGCTGAAAGAACAAGTTGATCCTAATACTCAAAACAAAGATGGAGTGACTGCTTTTATGTTGGCTTGTCAAAATAGTCACATTCAAGTTGTTGAGCTGTTGTTGAAAGAACAAGTGGATCCTAATGTTCAAAACAAAGATGGAGTGACTGCTTTTATGTCAGCTTGTGAAAATGGTCTCACTCAAATAGTTGAGCTGTTGTTGAAAGAACAAGTTGATCCTAATGTTCAGAATAATGATGGAATGAATGCTTTTATGATAGCATGTCATAATGGTCACACTCAAATAGTTGAACTGTTGCTGAAGGAACAAGTTGATCCTAATCTCCAAAACAAAGATGGATTGACTGCTTTTATGTTGGCTTGTCAAAATAGTCACATTCAAGTTGCTGAGCTATTGTTGAAAGAACAAGTTGATCCTAATGTTCAAAACAAAGATGGAGTGACTGCTTTTATGTCAGCTTGTGAAAATGGTCTCACTCAAATAGTTGAACTGCTGCTGAAGGAACAAGTTGATCCTAATGTTCGAAACAATGATGGATCGACTGCTTTTATGTTGGCTTGTCAAAATAGTCACATTCAAGTTGTTGAGCTGTTGTTGAAAGAACAAGTTGATCCTAATGTTCAAAACAAAGATGGAGTGACTGCTTTTATGTCAGCTTGTGAAAATGGTCTCACTCAAATAGTTGAACTGCTGCTGAAGGAACAAGTTGATCCTAATGTTCAAAACAAAGATGGATCGACTGCTTTTATGTTGGCTTGTCAAAATAGTCACATTCAAGTTGTTGAGCTGTTGTTGAAAGAACAAGTTGATCCTAATGTTCAAAACAAAGATGGAGTGACTGCTTTTATGTCAGCTTGTGAAAATGGTCTCACTCAAATAGTTGAACTTTTGCTCAATGAACAAGTTGATACTAATTTTCAAAACAAAAATGGATTGACTGCTTTTATGTTGGCTTGTCAAAACAGTCACATTCAAGTTGTTGAGCTTTTGCTGAAGAAAGGAATTGATCCAAATGCTCAAAATAATGATCAAGTGAATGCTTTTATGTTGGCTTGTCAAAATAGTCAAATTCAAATTGTTGAACTGTTGCTGAAGGAACAAGTTGATCCTAATGTTCGAAACACAAATGGAATAGATGCTTTTATGTTGGCTTGTGAAAATGGTCACATTCAAGTTGTTGAGCTGTTGCTGAGTAAACAAGTTGATTTGAATGTTCAAAACAATGATGGAGTAAATGCTTTTATGTTAGCTTGTCAAAATGGTCATACTCAAATAGTTAAACTGTTGCTAAAGGAGCAAGTTGATCCTAATGTTCAAAGGAATGATGGAGTAAATGCTTTTATGCTGGCTTGTGAAAATGGTCATACTCAAGTGGTTGAACTGTTACTGAAGGAACAAGTTGATCCTAATGTTCAAGACAAAGGTGGTGTTACAGCTTTAATGATTGCCAGCGCTAATGGACATTATGAAGTAGTTAAGTTATTATTAGAATGGAAAGTTGATCCAACTATAAAATCTAATGAAGGACGCCCTGCATTATCAGTATCCAAGACATTTGAAATATATAAATTGATCTACTCTTTTTTTGTTGAAAACTATATAAAGTTAGAGGAAGATACTGCTAGTCTATATTCAATTGAATCTCAAGTAACAGTATCCAGTGGATATTATACAATATCAGACATAAGTAGCATGAAAACTTTTCCTTCTACACAAACTTTAGATTCAGCAATAAATGAGAAGTAGTAGTTAGTGCAAATACATAGCTGCAACATGTTTGTAACTATTGCTGCCTTATCAGGCTAGCACTTGTGTGTTATCATTATGAGTTATTATAGAGCACTAAATAAAGTGAACTACATATACATGTATTACTAGTTATTTAGTACACTTGTTCAGTACAGTATTACTAGATTTTATTCGAATAAATTCTGTAGAAAGTAGTATAAGATAAATTCAATAAATACAGGATATTTTTTAATTGTTTATTATGATTGAACCTAATAAACATCAAAACCTGTAAAGGAGAAACTAGACAAAGGTATATGTTAACAAAAGTTAAATAATAAATGTATAAGGAAATGTACATTATTATTGGTTTGACCTAAGTTTATGATCATAACTCAAGAACTTTTAGTCAAAATCAGCTCAAACTTTCTACACTGCATAAGGGCATCAATATGTATCAGAATATTTAATAAAAATGGGGGGATATTGGAGTCATTTTTTGAAAAACCGATGAGTTATACCTTGGATATTTTTCAGAAATTGGCAAATTTTT